ATAGTAGTTTGCCCGACTCTACAATCTAACCTATTATAAAAACTGTATAATAGTATGTCATAAATAATTTAAATATTTTTGAAAAAAACTCGTATGCAGCCCTCTTTTTTGCAGGAACTCTAAATCTTAGTTGATCATCAAAATGGGCAATGATAAATATATACTATTCGTTGAATTGATGTATAGGATTCTGAAGATGACATTAGTCTTTTGCTAACTTCTTTTCTTACAAAACTTTCTACAACCCCATAGTCAAAAAGTCGGTTTAAATCATGATTGTGATGAACGAGTAGTTTGCAGTGCAACCACCACTCTTAGAATTCCCGTCATATTCTTAACTCAATCCAACTATCAAATCGATATTTTGTAGCAAATAGTTTGATTTTTTATTTTCAGACTAAAAAAGTGTACGTTAAAGTCTAAAATCGATTGAGAACATCCCTAATAATAATTATTTTTATCATAAAATATTAAATCTTATCTAAAATTCTAGTTTACTGGTCTTGTACATGTCACATGCTTTGTTGGAATAAAATTATACCGGCGGTTGGGTTTTATTATAGTTGGGTAATCACTTTCATCACATCCATCTAGATGGTAATTGGTAAACCATCTTGATAAAAAGCTATTGTCAATTTACAAGAAGTTGTAATTTGAAATTTCGTAAGAAACAAAAAAAAATCATTAACTGATAAGTTATTTTTCATGGTTCTCTTGTTTTTGAGTAGCGACGAAAGTGACGATATTCATAAGAAGAAAAGAGTTTCTCTTTCAGCAATACCCTTAAATAAAAGCGTATGTTTTTGATATAAAGTTACCCACATGATACCATATGACATATACAATACTAAACTAGTTATAAATTTAAATTTTGAAAGTGACAACGCGAAATGGACTAGTTTTTTTGGTAGACTTCTGTATTGTTTTTGAAGCGGACGTGACAGATTTGATGCATTAGGATTTTGTCTCCAATATTTTGTTCTCCATTAGCCAAAAGATTACTGTTTGTCCACTCCACAGAAAACCAAGGCTTATAAGTTATAAACTTATAAATAATGGGAAAAATAAAAACAGTATTATCTACAGAAAATTAATCAGATCCGTCCGTTGCCATAATTGCAAAACCTTAAATAAACTAGTTAAAAATGATCATAACAACAACTACAACAACCAAAAAAAAAAAAAAAAAGCCCAAAGCCTCGTCACATCTGCCCATAAATACCTTTCACCGACTCACAACCTTGCCACATCAATTCTTCTCTCTCTTGCTAGTATATCTCAAGACTATAGAGACAAGATCTTAAGTTTGGTGAAGAAGAAAAAAAAAACAATGACGAAGGAAGTGGTTGGAGAGAACCGATCCTTCTCCGGCAAAGATTATCAAGACCCACCGCCTGAGCCTCTATTCGATGCAACTGAGTTCGGGAAGTGGTCTTTCTACAGAGCTCTCATCGCTGAGTTCATAGCCACTCTCCTCTTCCTCTACGTTACGGTTATGACTGTTATCGGTTACAAGAGCCAGACCGATCCAGCCCTCAATCCCGATCAGTGCGCAGGAGTTGGCATCCTCGGCATCGCTTGGGCCTTTGGTGGCATGATCTTCATCCTCGTTTACTGCACTGCCGGAATCTCTGGTCTCTTTCTTTCTTTCTCTCTTTTAACTTAATGATTTTTCCTTATTTTCATGGATTTGCTCTTAAACTAGCGATGTTTTTTAGCTCAGAACAGAACTTGTGTTGTCTCAACTTGCCTTACGTTACCTGAAATTCTTAAATATTAATCTTTTGCTATTATTTGATAGATAATTAAGCTTATTTTTCATATTTATTTTAAATATTATAATGAGTTTTTAATAAATGAGTTTTTAGTTCAGTTTTTTAGTTTGTTTTTCTATACGACGTTATCATTCATTTATAGTAAAATTTGGTGTAGCTTTTAGTCTCACATCAATGTTTTAATTCAACTTTATTTAATGATATAGGTGGGCATATTAATCCGGCGGTGACGTTTGGGCTGTTCTTGGCTCGGAAAGTGACGTTGGTGAGAGCAGTGATGTACATGGTAGCTCAGTGCCTTGGTGCAATTTGCGGTGTTGCTTTGGTAAAATCCTTCCAGTCTTCTTACTACACACGCTACGGTGGTGGCGCAAACGGTCTTTCCGACGGTTATAGCATCGGCACCGGTGTTGCGGCCGAGATCATCGGTACATTCGTCTTGGTCTACACCGTCTTCTCCGCCACTGACCCCAAGAGGAGTGCGCGTGACTCTCACGTCCCTGTAAGCTCATTTTCCCCCTTTTAGTTAGAGTCTTTAGAGAAAATGTGTTGATTATGTCACACAACAAAGAAATTAGTCATGGTTAGATAATTTAGAAATTCACCGCCATTAATGGAAACAGTGTGACATCCGTGTCCTATACGGCATTCCATTTATAACTAAAAACAAGGGAATATAATTATGCATTAAATTGGATTGACGTAAATATAAGTTTTTTTTTTTAATATGTTTCGTTTTGTCCAGATCACTAATTTCCCAGTTCGCATCATTCGGACCGAACTAGATAAGCTGGTGTTAGATATCTGAATATTCGACCGGTTCGTAAACTTACTTTTAGTCGGATCAAAGCTGAAAGATATACTGTTACTTTGAGCTAAAAAGATATGCATAAATTTTACGAATCTATTTTCTAGATTCTTCATCATAATAAACGACAAAAAGGACACTGATCGTCTAAATTGTTTTTTGTCTTTCACGCCTTTCTCCATCATATGTTGTTCTTTATTTGTGGTCCCAACTTCATTTGCAACCACGTATACTTCTCGATCTTCTCCCAAATATAAGTACACGAATAAATTTTTGGACTCGACTACCAATTTCATTTGCCTTGTGATATTTTAGTAACATTTCATTTTGTGTTGTGAAGGTATTGGCTCCACTACCAATTGGGTTTGCAGTGTTCATAGTTCACTTAGCTACAATCCCAATCACGGGCACTGGCATTAACCCTGCTCGAAGTCTAGGAGCTGCAATCATCTACAACAAGGACAAAGCTTGGGACCATCATGTTCGTAATACTATATTTACTTCTTCGTCTTCGATATAAAATTTTCAGTAACGTTTTATTAAGTTTTTGCTACTATATATTGCAGTGGATATTCTGGGTCGGTCCGTTTGCGGGTGCAGCCATTGCGGCTTTCTACCATCAGTTTGTGTTGAGGGCCGGTGCTGTGAAGGCGCTTGGGTCCTTCAGGAGCCAGTCTCGCGTTTAGCTTTGATTCTCCTCAACTATCAAAGAGAGCTATGAGATGATAATAAAAGAGCTGGCTTGTTATATAACGTAGATGGTTGTAGCCAAGTGACATGTAGTAATCTAATTTCTAGCTTTGTGAAAAGAGGTTAGGAGTGTTACTTTGTTGGCCAACTTTGAATTTCTACTTCTATAACTAAATCTATGTCTAAATTACTCCTTAACTTAATATTTCTCAGTTTATTAGTTTGATAAATTCCTTATGATCAACTTAAAGTCCCTAACAATCAACAATGTTTGAATCTCTCACTTCAATATTAGTTATGGTCGGCAATTGTAGATATGACTTGAAATGAATTCTATCGGCATTCTACATGTTAATTTTGAAAAAAAAAAATTGAATTGAGGTTCGTGATCCTCGATTTTTAAAAAAGGATAATAAAGTCATGGATGTTTCTTTTTATTTGGAGGTACAAATTTACACGTGAAAGTAACAAAATTATTGTACACTTGCATTCTAATGAATCGGGTTCTAACTTCTAAGTCTTTCCTTTTGATGACACGAGAACCACGCACTCACTGTCCATAAATTCAGAATTTTTAAAAAAAAATGTTTTGATGGGAACTGAAAAAAATGGGAGAAAAAACATGGAGCTTGTTAAGTTTCAACAGTATAAGTACAAAGATGATTGTCACTTTTATCGAACTTTGGTAATGTGTTGTTGCCCTGTAGTTAGTTTGGAAGGAACTGTATAAAGTAAAGCTCATTGATAATGTTGGGATATAATATTGGATTGGAGAATGATGGAAAAAAGATACGCATCGATAGGTCAAATTAAGTGGCTATCAAAACCTCATTAACAGAAGAGCTTAACAATTTTGTGTTCCATGCGCAATCTTTAGAAACATGATGAAAGTAATTAGGTTTGGCAGAAGTCAATCGACATGCTAATAATCTCTCGATTCAGCTATGAATTGATTACAAGGAAACATCATCATACACATTAGTCATATACTCACAGGCACATGAAGCCAATGTCATTTTCCTTTTTTTTTTTTTGATAAATAATGTCAATGTCATTTTCCTTAAAAAGCCCAATTCATTATACATGATAAGCCCAACACTAGCCCAATAGAAGATGAAGACGTAAGGAAGTCAAAGACACGTGGCTATGCCACGTCAAACGATGGGTTGAAGAGGAGGAAATTTCGCCGCCTCGATATTCTCCGGCACGGCAAAGCTCCATCTGAGAGAGAACGCTGAGCTCATCTCTGGGTTTAGGTTTCGACTTGGCCATCACGAAAAAAGCTACTCTATAAATAAATAAATAAATACTCACAAGAAATTTCGGCTTCCTCACTTTTCTTTCGTCCTCTCTTTCCCTCAACTTGTCGTCGAAGGAGAACCAGGTCTCTTCAATGGCTGCTAGGTTTCTCAGTCTGAGACGCGCTTTATCTCTCTACCTCACTAACCAACCAAAGCGGATTCCTCTGTCTCAAGGTATCATCATAATCTTCTTCTTCTTCTCAATTTGCCTAATCTTCCCAATCTCTCTTTCCGATTCGCCGCGACAGTCGTAATTCTTAATTTGCTCCGTTTCAGACCCATCTTCAAAACTTTGAATTGAATTAGATCCGTTTTGCAATATCTTATGACGATTAGTTGTTCTTGATGTGCAAAAATGGACATTTCTCTGTCCTCCATGTGAAACTTAAGAGTATGGCAAAAAGTTTGGACTTTTAGAGTTTTACAAGCTCCATTGTCTTTTTAAAGCTGTTGGATTTGTAATTTGGTATTGCCTTGTATTGAGAGCATATCTAGTTTGAGCAATACACTGGTTAAGCTTTTAGAATCCGTTTTTGTTTCGTCAATGGCTAAGAAGTGATAGCAATACTTGCATTTGTAATCTAAGCATTGTTTGCATCTCTGCCTGGTCATTCTTCTCTTGGTATTGGCTTGTTATGGCACTGACTGTTTTAATTTATTGTTCAAATGATCTATAAGCAGACAAGTTTTTGCAATCAAAGTCACTCTTTAACAGAGGTTATGTAAATGGGAGTGTACTCCAGAGACAATTCTGTGTAGCGGCCCGTGAGGCTAACGAAGCTTCAAACTCTGCTGCTGAGCTGGCCAAAACTCCTTCCCCTGCGACGACGACAACGGTCTCTGAGGACCTGATTGTGAAATACAAGTCCCAGTTGAAAATAAACCCGAGGCATGACTTCATGATGGTCTTTACTTGCAAGGTCTGCGAGACGAGGTCTATGAAGATGGCGAGCAGAGAAGCGTATGAGAAGGGAGTTGTGGTGGTACGGTGTGAAGGGTGCGATAATCTGCATTTGATTGCAGACCGTCTTGGTTGGTTTGGAGAACCGGGAAGCGTGGAGGAGTTGCTTGCTGCTCGAGGGGAAGAATTCAAGAAAGGTTCCATGGATTCTCTTAACCTCACAGCTGAGGATCTAGCTGGAGAGAAGATGTCCATTGAATAGAGAGCAAGTTCCCTTTGTTTGCTTTTGCTATTGTAACCACTAGGATTTGAACTTGGAACACATGTTTTAGTATTAAGCCTACTATTGTTTTGTTCTACTCAGATTGGCACATTGGTCTTCTTGGTTCATAAGCAGATGTTTCATAGTTTTATAACTAAAGAAAGTGATACTGAGGTAAATTCTCAAACAAGAAAAATGTGTAAAATAAATGTTATTTTTTTCTGGTGAAGAAAGTGATCATTGTTAGGTGTTCAACTTCTCAATGATCTTTGAAAGGGCTGAGTATGTGCCAATAGCTGAACATATTGCTCCTACCGCGATGATAAAGATACAGATCGTCACCTACAAACACACCACAAAGGTTGTCAAGAGAGGCTATGCATATTAGCTAGCTACTATAGACAGCAGAGATTTGGACATTTGTTTTTTTCAGTTTTTTCCGATTCGGTTCGGTTATCAGAAGTGAGCAAGACAAACCTGTGTAGGGGTTACTTTTGCCCTTAAGATGCTCAAGAAACAAGCGGGAGGTAGTATCAACGTCTGTGTCCAGAAGCACAACATTAATATGAAAATGCAAAAATATGAATTTGTTTGTGTAACCAGAAACAGTATGCAACTTACAATGAGCATTGTCAAGAATGATCCAATCAATGACATGACAAGGCCTGCAAGAATTCTTAGTATCAGTAACTATAGAAGAAAGTATGTATAATTTCCAAAGAATTGACACTTTACCGAAGAAAGGAATGGCAAGGCCAACGAGCAGAGTAGAGATGACTAATGCGCTTCTAATGGCGATTGCATAGAAACGTGACTCGCCGTGGTTTGATGGTAACAACTCCTCAAGACTCATTGCGACCGGAGATAATGTCAAAGCATATGTGCTCTCGTTTTATTAAGGCCAACAGAGTTTTTTTTTTTCAGTTTCGATAGATGGAGAATGTATGCGAACAAGGTTGTATGAAAATTACAGAAATGCGTAGTAACGTTTTTGAGTAAGTTCTTGCAAAAGGATATTTTGTAAATGGATTGACTACCTGCAAAAAGGTTTAAAGAAACGTTACTTGTGTGATGCAATCAGTGATTTGAAATCTTTAACATACTACTTAAAGATATCAAAGATAAGCAGAGGAAGAAAACATTTTGAAAAGCTTGTTTAGTTCATTGGAAAAACTACTTAAAGATAGAAAATCTAGTGTATTTAACAGCTGCCTGGAAATTTAATGAAAAATCATTTTCATGTAATAACCAGAAATAATCAGAGGAAAAGATGAAAAAAAATAGCTTACCGTAGTCCACAGAGCAATCTTGGATGCAACCAAATCTTGAGGCATGTTAAGTGTAAACTGTGATTCTGTTGCTTCTCCAAACATGCTATATCCCATGACAGCTACGACTGCATACATCAGAGTACAAATTCCAAAACTACAGAAAAACAAATCATTATATAGAGAGTTTCTGAATATTTGTAAAACAGTCTTTGTAAGCTTTTACCATGTCAAGAGAACAGCAGGAAACTGAGAGGGTTTGGCCATGGAAGTATAAATATTTGGGAAAACACCATGTCCTGAGTAACAATAACCATAGAGTCCAACAGAAACCGGTAATGTTGCTAGGTTTAGAGGAGTTCCTTTGCTGTGAATTCCAACTTCATCAACCAAACCAATCCAAAACAAGCACAAAACCACCAACACTGATGCAATCACCCCTCCAGCTGCAAAGTTTTTGAGTTTATGATTAGTTAATTATAACCCAAACCAAATCACAACATTTTTTTTAGACTGAACCAAAACTAAATAAACATGTTTAGATGTGTATACCTGAAATGTAACTTAAAACACTGAGATCTCGAAGCCAAACGGTGGGGAGAACAGCGAGGGTGGTGAGCAGAGCAAAAAAATGAGGCGCATCTAAGTGAAACCCTCCAATACTTAGAGAAGCATTTGGAAACATTGATGAAAGATTATCACTTTCCAATATTATGTATTCAACACTCATAGCCTACAGAGACAGAACATATAAGCATATCAAGTCTGTAACGTTTTAACTTATCAAAAGAACATTCACAATCCAATCTAAGATAGATGTACAAGTTTGTGTCCTATTCACAGAAGCATTTCAGTATATGTGTTGCTGATGATTTTCAACATTTTAATACACCAAAAACCAAATATTCCAACTATGAGACAAACCAAGGGGAGACACTATGGACCCTGTGAGAAAGGTGTTGTACTACTCCACATGTGGTCCCTTGTTATGACTAATTGAGATTCATTCTAGGTACTTATCTTTAATAATAAAGAAAAACAGAATGTATTTTGTCTTTATTTATGTAATATAAAGTAAACTATTGGATGAATTGCAAGTTGTACTTACATATAGCTCCAAATACAGTATTATCTGCACACACACACACACAAAAAAAAGAGAGAAATATAACTTTAACATATGGCATAAGTCACATAACTAGTAAACCTGATATTTACAATGTATAGATGATGAGCTTCTTAGTTAACTAATTCATAAGATAAATTTGCCGTGTACTTACGGAGACAAGGACACGGCCGGTGGTACCAAAAGCGGCATGGCCAATATCAGGATAGGTCTGGAGGTCAGGATGGCTATCAAGACAGTAACGCAGAAGCAAACCAGTGTAGAAACAGAGAATCCCAAATGCAAATAGAATGAGAAGTCCCAACCATCCTCCTTCTTTCACAGCATATGGTGTTGACAATATCCCAACACCACATAACACATTCACTCCTGCACAAACCGTGTGTCTCCATGTCCTCATCACTCAATACCACTAACATAACATAACAAGGTAGGTGTGATGAAACTGAAAAACTCACCGTTAACAACGGCTTGTACGAACGAGCTGTCGTTGGAGATTCCCACTTCATGAGACACCATGGGTGAGGCTTTCGAAGGAAGCAGAGAATGAGAGCTACGTTTATGCTTTGGCGCTTCTTCATCTTCAAGCAGAGGTTTTGTCACAGCGGGTAGTGATTCTTGTGTGTGTCTTCTTGTTAGGGACATGAAAGAGCTTTCGAATCTTGACAATGAAGCGTTGCCAAGAAAACCAGGACTCGGTGATGGTACACTTCCGTAAAGATCAATCGACTGCCTAAAACATCAAAACAGAGGTTAGGATCCAAATCAAAATGTTGAAAATTTATTAATTACATACCTGTAACTCTTTGGCCATGCGGTTGAGTATGAGCTAGGTTTAGAATGATGTCGGTTTCGATTGTAAGCGTCGGAAGAATCCGAAAGAGATCCATCGTGTTCTTCTTCGGACATGTTGTTCTTTCTCTCGTCCTCTCCTTCATCACTCTCAATGTAAAGGCTTTGGTCAGAAGCTGAGTGATTCATGATTCTCTCACAAATGTTATCCGATATCGATATATGAAATCTATTAAGGTTTCGATGGAATCTTTTAAAGTACACAGAAAAAAACAAAAAATGGATTCAGAAAGTAGGAGTCTAGGCGAGTGAAAGGGCAAAAACAGATACCGGTCGAGGGCAACTAGGAGTTAGGAGGAGCCGTTAAAATGTGAGTCATTCATTCATATGTATACCAGAGTTGACCATGGTTAAGTTAGTTTGTAACTACAGTCACCATAATCCACGTATTATCCTTTTATGATTCATTGAATAGCGTAAAACAATTGAGATTTTTTTCTATTTGTATTAGATATCTATTAGTTTTATATTTTACATATATATATTATATCATAAAAAGAAACATTGACTTTTCATGTTGTTCTATAAAGATAACAACGCAGAAGTGGTAATAAATCCTCCAAAACAGTTCTACTTAAACAACCAATTACATAAAATATATAAGAACGTAATTACATAAACTATAAATATAATTAAAATTATGTGCCGCTGAAATTTAATTACATTCATATGTAAAACTACTGATGATATTATTACATTCATATTAAAAAAAAAGCATTTTAACACTATTTATTTTAGTTTTATTTTTATAAAGACACTATTTATTTTAGTTTGGATTTTAAAATATCTTTTATTATGGTCATAAACTAAAGTAAGACAGTGTAATTTAGATTTAACGGGTAATTAGCTACCAAGGATAGAAGATCCACGTCCACATGGTGTGGTGGTTCGTCTGTTTTCTGATACTTGGAAATTTTTAATGCTAGAACGGAAATGATCACACACCGGTATCTCGAAACCACGACTCAACAACATGCATGTCCATATTTTGTTATTGAAAAAAAGAAGAAGAACATGTCCACATTTAATCTGTTTTTATTCGCCGCTTCCAGCTATATATATCAATATCTTCATCCTCACATGCTTAGTTGTTTGAGATATTGGAGAAGAATGAGTCATGGTTTGGCCGAATCTCTCATGGTGTGCTTTATCGCGTTTAATCATTTTGAACAATGGTGCATTCATAGTAATTTGTTATCCTCATCAACGACAAGGGATGAATAATAACAAGCAAATCATATTATGACAGTAAATACTGGTGGGTAAACAATCAAAAATTCAAATGCTAAAATTTTCAGCGTTTTAATTTTTCGATTAGTGGCCATGTCCACCAACCAACAATAACAAAAGACCTTGATCTTGTGGATATCGTCCGAACATTATAATACCTAAGTTGATTTTGTTCTTTCCAAAAACTTATTCAACACTCTCGACTGATTTTTATTTTATTCAACGCACTTACTCCATAAGTTTATATATTCAACACATTTAATAGTATATGTATTCCTTGAGTTTACTTACAACTTATTCAATAACCATTATATTGCCAAGATATAACTCGAGAACATTTCAGGACTATAATTAACAAGATCGTCAATTTTTTTTTGAAAAAATACGTGGAGCAAAACTATCTTCAAAAAGCTCTTAAATCTCAAACAAAGCTACCCAAACTAACAAGCATCACAATTAACAATTCACAATTCAGTCACTTGAATGCATACTTGAAATAGAGTTTTTAAAGGATTTTGCTTTCTCTCGAACAAAATATCTCAAAAGCATACGATCTCATAGAAGCTTGTAAGCGAGGGGACACCTGGCATGCAGAAAGGACAACTCACTCAATCAACAGGTAGACGGACCAACATTAGACATGAGATTACAATCTTTGACGTGTCATCATTATCCACATGGTGTTCTCTGATTGGTTAGCATGTTTAGATCTCAGATTATGTAGTTGTGTAGTACCAAGGAGAAGATCTAATAGCATTCGGGTAACACGTGTCAACTGTTCCTTCGTCGTCAAACTTTAGATCGACCTTGAGGATCAAAATAGGTGTACAATTAGATTCTTTGAATAATGACGTGGAATTTTGACTTCGAAAATCTAAGTTTGGAGAAGGTTTGGAGTTATAAGAAGCACGAGCGTTATAGAAAAAGTGTTCGATGTGAGTTGTTCCATTTCAACGTCGACCACGCAAGAAGTACACACATACGTATCTTGGTCACCACAAAGCAAACACCCACACATACACATAGCACTATATATATATTTCCCTTCAAAGCCTTAAGAGCACAAGACACATATAGAGCCAAGGTTGATAGCTAGCTTAATTCAATAATGCCGAGTTACATTTCCTTTATCGTGTTGTTCTTTATAGTTATCTTCTCTTTTTCTCCCCGAGCAAACTTTGTCAATGCGTCGAGGCCCTTAATGGAGTCCAAGAAGCCGGGCCAGACGAGCTTGAATACAATGTACACAAGCGGTAGCGAACAAGGCAAGTTTGGTGGTGGAGCGATGAATGATTGTCTGCCAAAGGGATTTCGCTTCAATTCTGCTCCTAGCCGCTACATTAACAACCATGCTTCAGGGTCAACACTTTGTTCTACAACAGATAAAGTCATTCCTAAGCCATAACATAGCCGTACTGAATGCCCTATCCTATGCATCTCAAGAATTTGTATATTGCTTTTCATGTATTTATAAACCTATTAATTTGTTACTCTATATATGCTTGGGATATTTCTTAAATAAACCCATGTACATGTATTCCTTAATTTATTGTGTATCTTGTTAACACATAAGATAATATAGAAGTTTTGCTTAAAATATTGTTAACGTTTATCATATTATACGATTGAGATTTTTTGTATAACTATTATACTTATGCTTAAATTTATATACAGTTTATGTTTAACACTGTCAAAATATATCTTGGTACGTGTAGAGGTTAAGATTACATTTCAGGTGTATCAGTTTACTGTTTTTTGGGAGTGGAATAATCTTCATGTCAATACTTAAATCGTTGAAGATATTGATTATTGATACAATCAACATTATCACTCTGTTAGTGTCCTTATTGCTTTGATAAGAAAACACTTAAATTGACTTGTGAAACGAATTAAATTTGTAACCTTAGGCATTGTATATGTATTCCAGATATTATCAAATTTGGGTGATAGATTTTGATTTAGGTAATGCGGTTCAGACCAAATGACATCTTAATCTTAGCTAGTTGGCTTTCAACATGCAAAGCTATTTTATTTCTAAGATTCAAGTTCTAAAGGATGGAAATCGATATTACAAAAAGAAAATTCATTTTGTAACATATAGTTAGGCGTCATAGGAAGACTTTAAAATAAAACTCGACAATCGTTGGGCAAAAGTCAAAGGACGATAACAAATTAACAATCATCGACTTTGTTAAACGGATCCTTCTGTTTCCTCTTCCTCTTCTTCTTCGACTTGCTGCCATCAACACCCAAAACTTGGATACGATCTCTCAGCTGTGATTTCTGTAATCTCATCAATTCTCTATTCGGGGATAAGCTATGGGATGTGCTGCTTCTCTTCCAGGCAAGTTTTCCTTTCTCTCTCTCTCTCTCTCTCTCTCTATATATATATATATATTTTTTTTTTCGTTGTTGGATTTATTCTCTTAAAAGTAAGAACTTATTCGCAACACCCTCGAGAAACTTCATCAGAAATTGCGAATTCATCGGGGTTTGAATTAGAAGCCTCTCGAAATTGGGGATTATGATGATCATTTTGCGTTATTTAGGGTTTCCGTGCGAAGAATTCGGATAAACCACGAATCGGAATCGGTTTATTGAATCCTGTAGATGATTTTGTTTTATGTTTCAGATAGGAACTCTGGAGCATTGAATGGTCTTAGCAGTTCAGAGAATGCAGCTCCAGCAGATGCCAAAAACCTACGCGTGAAGGTGCGATTTTGCGTTTTTTGTTTTGTTTTTTGCTCTCTTTAAGAGTGTTGAGACAGCTTTATTGCTTGACTGATGGCTCCTGAGATTTATCAACGGAAAGCAAATAAAAAACTTAAACTTGTTATGAGCAATGAGAGCTATGTGTAGAGTTTGTTTAGCAAGTTCATGCTTTTTATAAGCTATGGTTCTTTGGTTTATATTTGATTGTTCACCTTTATGCTACTGTAAGGAGAGGGATTCCGTTTCTTTCACCTTTCTTCTTGTTGGTCGGCTCTGTTTTGCGTGTGTATGATGGTATCAACTTTGAGCAAGACTAACCGCTAAAAATTTGGATTTACTGGAATGCAGTTAGTTCTATTAGGAGATTCTGGTGTGGGTAAAAGCTGCATCGTCCTTAGGTTTGTCCGTGGTCAGTTTGACGCAACATCTAAGGTAAGTAAAAGACCTTGTTATCTAATCGTCTGTGTAAACAGTCTGATACATTTTAGTGAATGGCTACTAGAGTATTCTATTCTGCTGCCATTGTATCTCAAATTTTATTTGTTATGTATCAGGTAACTGTTGGAGCCTCATTCTTGTCCCAAACAATAGCCTTGCAAGACTCTACCACTGTGAAGTTTGAAATATGGGATACAGCAGGGCAAGAGAGGTGTGAAACCCAAACTGATCATGTAGATTAGTGATGCTTAGTTGATTAAATAAATGCATTGCAGGCTTGCTAGGGCTTAATAGTATTCTCTTTATTTTTTTTAGGTATTCTGCTCTTGCACCACTTTACTACCGCGGAGCTGGAGTTGCTGTTATTGTGTATGATATAACAAGCCCTGAATCGTTCAAGAAAGCTCAGTATTGGGTTAAGGTATGCATGTTTTCAAAGTGCTCGAAAGGGTTCCGTTTCCTTCATCTTTCTTGTGACTCAAAGTTGACATGCAAATAGTATTATATGAACATAATAAGAGCATAAAACTATCTAATTTCCTTGGACGCAAATGATTGAAATGACTGAAAGTAACACTGTCTTGACTGAAACCAACTTCTGCCGAACATATCCCACTAAAACCCTAGGATAGTTGAATATGATTATTGAGCAGCTTGCTGGCTTCTATGACATTCTTGTTCTATAGCATGAAACCATTTGGTACAAGTCCGTGTGGGAAAGATAAATTATCATAATATTCAATCTGGTGCTGTTGTTTTACCCCTGCTTTATATTCAAACAGGAACTGCAAAAGCATGGAAGCCCGGATATTGTTATGGTGTTGGTTGGTAACAAAGCTGATCTACACGAAAGAAGAGAAGTACCAACCGAGGTGAGTTTGCAAAAACCCTCTTCAACTAGATTTTGTAAAACATTTCCACCGTCTTTGCGTCTTCAGATTTTTCAATTTTTCTTTGAACAGGATGGGATGGAGCTTGCAGAGAAGAACGGCATGTTCTTTATTGAGACTTCAGCCAAGACAGCAGATAACATAAATCAACTCTTTGAGGTGTGTATTGCCTATCTTTATTGCCGCTGTGTTATGATCGATTGTCTTGTCATCTGCATTGATCGAGCGAGTGCTTGTGATATCTGTTTCTTTTCAATACTTTGGATCTGGAGAATTGAAACTAAAGAACCTAGTGGTACAAATGATTGTCCTCATGCTCATTGTGAAGAATAATAGTTTCAGATGTAGAGAGATTTGATGTATATGGGATTAAACTAACTTGTTGGAGTGTGTACATTTGTCTGATAGGAAATTGGCAAAAGACTACCTCGTCCTGCTCCTTCATCATGACTGGAGAGTGTTGAATCTGTTGTCTTCAGGGAAAGCAAAAAAACCAAAAAAACTTTTTCAGAGGACTAATCTTTTCATACGATATTTCTCCATCTGTTAAGTGTGTTGTATAATGTGAAGATTTGAGGTTGGAACTGTAATGTGGAAAATCCAAGTTATGAAGCGATAATTGTTTAAGATATCTGTGCGTGCATACTTATTCATATAGCTGTGAAAGAAGATGTTGAAGCTACTCTAATTAAGATACAATTTGACCAATTCAGAGAAAGACTAATAGGTAGAGAGAAATCCACTACACAAACTCTCCTTGCACATGAGATCTATTTTTTTTCCTAACTCTTGTTTCAAACACCAATAAAAGATTCAAAATTTATCTTTTCTAATTTTGTAAAATGTCATATCAAATCTAAAACACACATGAAAGGGATTAATATAGGGCATTTTGGCATTAATTTTTTTTTTTTTTTTTTGCATAATATCAGAGGCAAATACCCCTTCAATTGGTGCTTAAACATAAATTTAACTTATGAGTTGGTTTGAAAATGGACAAAAGGTGGCTTTTCATGTCCAAATTGGTGATGAGACAAGACAATGACTTGGTGTGTTTTATTGCATTGTCACGTTCGTTCGTGAGAGACTAATTCGCAAAGGATTTAGCGGAATAGCTCTCAATGGCTTCATTTCATTTCCATTCTCCTTAAAACCAAATTCTTCTTTTGTCTCCTCTTCTTCGTTAAGCCCTCCGGAGAGCAAAATCTAAGGATGGGTTTAACGAATTGTTCCCACGAGGAGCTGATTAGTCGACTCGTTGACTCCATCAAAGAAATTTCTGGTTTTTCCTCTTCTAAAGGCTTCATCGGGAAGATCCAAGGCGATCTCGTTCGTAGGATCACGCTTCTCAGCCCTTTCTTCGAAGAATTGATTGACTCGGAATTGCAGGATGAACAAATTCCAGGCTTCGAGGTTATGAGAATCGCTCTTGATTCAAGTCTTGAGCTTTTCCGATCTGTCAATGGTGGAAGCAAGCTTTTTCAGGTTTACTCATTACTTCTCTTTTTTTTTCCTCTTTTAACATTTTGAGATGAAACTGTCTTGCTATAATAAGAGAAAGATCAAAACTTTATTACATTTCTGGAATCTATGTGAAAGTTTATAGCTGCTCCAAGAAATGTCACCTGAAAATCAAGAAGTTGAGACCTTTTTGTTTGTGTTCTCTTTGTTTGCAGATTTTCCACAGGGACTCTGTTGTGCAGAAGTTCCACAACGTGACAGTGGAGATAGAAGCAGCGTTAAGTCAGATTCCTTACGATACGATCGAGGTTTCAGAGGAAGTCAGAGAACAGGTACTACTTATTGCCTTTTTTGTTTCTTGATTTGAAGAAAATCAGTCATGAATCAAAATCTGAACTCTAATGATGTTATATGACTCTCTGAATCTGTAGATACAGCTTCTGCATTCTCAATTCAAGAGAGCAAAAGAAAGACAAGAGGAAGATTATGATACGCAGCTTAGCGATGATCTAGCCATAGCAGAGAATGTGATGGATCCCGACACTATCATCCTCAAAAGACTGTCACAAGAGCTACAACTCAGCACCATTGATGAGCTGAAAAAAGAATCACACGCCATACACAAATACTTCCTCTCATACGATGGTGATCCTGACGACTGTTTCGAGCGGATGTCCTCTCTTCTTAAACAGCTTGTAGACTGCGCATCAATGGATAGCTCAGAGCCTGATACATCCGCAAGCAACAAGATCGTTTCGAGGCATCGTTCTCCAGTTATACCAGAGTACTTCAGGTGTCCTATATCACTTGAGCTGATGAAAGATCCTGTCATCGTCTCCACTGGACAGGTTTGCTTTTGCTTTTAGCAAGTTCCTTGTGCATTGTTGTTGCTTTAGCTGATTTTGTTTTGTTACCTTGCAGACATATGAGAGATCATCTATCCAGAAGTGGCTTGATGCTGGTCATAAGACGTGTCCGAAGTCTCAGGAGACGCTGCTGCATTCTGGATTAACACCTAACTACGTGTTGAAGAGTCTCATTGCTCTGTGGTGTGAGAGCAACGGTATTGAGCTTCCGCAGAACCAAGCGATCTACAGAACAGCAAAGCCAGGAGGAGGAAGCGGCTCTTTAGACTGTGACCGAGCGTTTGTCCGTTCCTTGTTAGAGAAACTGGACAACGGTGCTACAGAAGAGCAGAGAGCTGCAGCTGGAGAGTTGCGGTTGCTAGCTAAGAGGAACGCTGATAACAGAGTTTGTATCGCTGAAGCTGGAGCCATACCGAGGCTTGTGGAGCTTCTGTCTTCACCTGATCCTCGGACTCAAGAGCATTCTGTGACTGCTCTTCTCAATCTTTCGATAAATGAGTGTAACAAAGGGTTCATTGTTGATGCGGGAGCTATAACGGATATAGTTGAGGTGCTGAAGAACGGAAGCATGGAGGCTAGAGAGAACGCGGCTGCGACTCTTTTCAGTTTATCTGTTATAGATGAGAACAAAGTGGCTATAGGTGCTGCTGGAGCTATCCAAGCGCTTATAAGCTTGCTTGAGGAAGGAACAAGAAGAGGCAAGAAAGACGCGGCAACAGCGATATTCAATCTTTGCATATACCAGGGGAATAAGTCAAGAGCGGTTAAAGGTGGTATTGTCAATCCTCTGACGAGATTGCTGAAAGATGCAGGTGGTGGGATGGTGGATGAAGCCTTGGCGATTCTTGCGATTCTTTCGACGAACCAAGAAGGGAAAACAGCGATAGCTGAAGCGGAATCGATCCCGGTTTTGGTTGAGATTATCAGGACAGGGTCACCTAGGAACAGGGAGAACGCTGCAGCGATACTTTGGTATCTTTGTATTGGGAATATGGAGAGGTTGAATGTAGCGAGAGAGGTTGGTGCAGATGTTGCCTTGAAGGAACTTACTGAGAATGGAACTGATAGAGCAAAGAGGAAAGCTGGGAGCTTGTTGGAGCTTATTCAGCAAATTGAAGGCGTTGCAGCATCTACTGTTGAATGATAGCCTCGCTCTTGGTGGGAATCTTTGTTTGTTTCAGTGTAGATTATATATTTGTGTATAGGAAACTTTTGGATTCTTAATCTGACTAATGAACTTTGTGTAATGATGTTATGTGTAATTTTCAACTCAGGTTTTGTGTATTCAATAAAAGCCTCTTCAAATTTGTACAAGATGATAGTTTCTCTTTTAGTTCTTGCGTTCTGATCATTGAAATGAAAATGCCAACGCAAAGCAACAATCGTGACTAGTGAAGTCAACTTTCATTAGTAGAAGTTGAAGTGAAATGCATGAAAAGAGAACATTATTGAATTTGTATACAAGAAGATCTCGACTGTATCTCACCATAAAAAAAAGGAAGAAACATAAATAAATACACTCTGCAACCAAAATGATCTAGAAGAAGACAAACAAAGACTTACAAAACAAATAAACACGCGAGGGGTAACGCTCTGTAACGGATCAGCCCAGTTTTTCCATGAATGTTTCTATCAATGTTGCACCATTGACGATTTTTGTAGTGGCAATAATCAAATCATAAGCCATTCCTTCCTGCAGAAGAAGCGAATTGGAGGATGATTCAGCAAAATAACAAGCGACCAAAAAGAGGTCTTTCGATAAGAAACTCATGAAGTTTGCATATTACCTTAGAGGCGAGATACCGTAGAGCAGAGATTTCAGCAAAGGTTACACCACCAATGAAGACAACAAGAACAATTGAGCGTCTTCCATCAGCAACCCTGTAATGATGTCTCACACACATATTAGGACAGTTCAATGTTTTATCGTGTAGACGAACCTACTTTTGTGGTAGCAACCTAATTTTTAATGAGGAACTTACCCATTTGAAGCTCCATGTAATGAATCAATTAATGGACTACTCGGGAATCCACTCTGCAGAGAGATGGTACATAAGTGATACATTTGCAATGGGTAAGCTAAACCAGTGGAAAAGAGAAGACCCAAATAGCATAGCAAAAATGGAAGCTTTCTCTCTGATTGAGTAGAATTGTGTACTGAGTACTCACTCTTTTAGTTTCAAGATGCGGTCCTGGTAATAGCTTCAGTATGTCTTCTATAGGACGCCTGTAAGGCAGATTGAGTCATCAATAGATCGCACCATTCTTTCAACATTCATATATCGATTAGTAAAAGTTCTCTCAAGTTCTGATTTTTGTGCTTTCAGTTTTTATCTGTCCACCTCATTTAAACGCTTCTTAAATTGAATCTGAACAGAATTCTAGACATTTTTCTTTCATGGTTATTTGCTTACTGAGGAAAGCCAACGTATTAGCTTCACAGGCTACCTAGGCAAAAGTTTTAGCTAGAAGAATGCAAGAACATACTAACCATCCAGAATGAATAGCTTGTTGGATAAGACGAATGCTGAGAGGAGCATATCCAGAATAGACATAAGCGATATCCTCAGGCCTGCACAAGAAATTTAGTTCTCACAACTCTAAGCTGTATCTCTTTATCAAAATCATGTCAACGAATGTATCATGTATTCAGTACGAGACAACGTGACTAGAGATAGTATTACCTTGACGTATCCGTGTCTTCAACTATAAGTTTCAATGTACGTTTCACTGTCTGCCAGTTGCTTTTAAACTCCTATACAGACCAAACGAAGGTACAACAAGTCATTAGAATATCAGAGACAGTTAACTACAGAATACAAAAAATGACCATTCCACAAAGATGCCAAGAATAACCAAACCTGCTTCTTCAACAATCCTGCTTTTTCCAAGTTGTTCAATGCGATCACATGCTCAAACCCATAACTGTGGAGTAGTTCCGTTCTGGAAGTTGAGACCCGAAGACAAGATATGAGTAAAGGAAAAAAAAAAAAAAACAGAAAGCCGAATTATATAATATAGAATGGTTGATGTAAGCTTAACTTGCCTTATATAATCAAATTGTTTTTTGGGTAACCCTGAGTTTGTAACAGAAAATAGGACTAATAGACGTAGGACATTAGTAAGAGGCTCCTGTTTATGGATCATCTCTTCTATGTATTCAAAGCATCTGCATTTACAAACTAGAGTTAATAAATAATCAATATCATAAGACATTTATATATCCCCTCAACGTTTATATCACTTGTAAGTTGTAACAAAAAGAACCATGAAATCTTCTTGAGTGAAAAGTATTAAATACAATTGAAGTGTTTCCTTTAAAAGAATCTTACATGTCATAACTTTCTGCCTCAACAAGTGTCTGCTCCATATCAAGTTTGGAAAGAAATGACTGCTTGGATGTGAACGTTGTCAGGTGCTGGGCAAGATGTATGTGCCTCTGGGAAAGGAAAAAAATTAAAACCAATTAGTTAAAATGAAGCTAATTTGTATATAAACCAATTAGTTCTGAGAGACAAAATAGAATGAACTTAAAGAAAACAAGACAATACTTACAGTCATCTCTGGTAACGAGTTAAGCTTCTTGACAAAGTCCTTTAGCTCAGAAACTGTCTGGGTCTGTGCATTATATCACCATGACCCATTAAAATCAGGGTACAACTAATAATCTAAGGGGAAAGTGTATGAAGATTACTGAATCCTAAGGAAAAACATGGTCTATAATAATATGTATATAATAATGTGCCAACGAACTCTCCTGATCGATGGCTATGAAACTGAACACAAATATGTACGTACAATAACCTCTACCATGAATACAAGTTGACCTAAATAAAGAGAAACTTACAGAATTAATTTCAGTGTAGTCCTCCTTCATGGTTGTTGCCTTCTGCCGTAGAACCTGCAATCAGACTGCGTCTGGAAGATGAGGAAGCAGAATCCCATGTCACAAAGAATGAAAGCCAAAAGGACAAAGGTCAACCTGTACAACGACTTCAAAGTTGAGATCCCTTGTCTCCTTGAATAATTTATCACTGTAAATTTAAAAATCAAGAGATAAAGTTAATCTAGCTACCAGTTTAGGAAGCTCTTTCGTGTGCAAAATCAAATTCATACACAGGAGTAATAGCAAAAGGATGTGCTTATCCAATCAAAGAAAACCACAATTTCAGTGCAATAGAAGATTGTCTCACACGGTCAAAGGAATTTTTATATGATGCAAGCAACTAACCTTGAATTTAAGGGAACTTTCATCTTTTTTCCCTCCTGCTGTGCACCCATCACAGCTGAGTCGACCTCGACAGCTCCATTACTGATATGCAAGAACTTGAAATAAAGGTTGGAGTCAGCTTACAGAAAATCCAACATTGATCAACTTAATTTAAATCCAAATTTAGGGTTGTTGGTTCTCAGTGCAATCAATGAGACCAAATAGTTATACACCATTGTTTGACCTTCCCCAAATTCCAGAAAAGTACATAGACTCAGTAGGACAATGACAAGAAAACAAATTTGGTTCTCACACTTGCGTTAGACTTTATTATGAGAAGAGAAAGCAAAAAATAACTCAATTACACTCAAATTACTAGTAAAACTACGACACACTTCCTCCTACAGAGCGTAAAAAGTTCACCATTTGCCCTGCTGGCAAAATCTACTCAGGCTACCTCTAGTTAAAACTGAAGAATTCATTTTTGTGACTTTACCTCGTCTATCAGTCCCTCATAAGTTAACTGGGAACACATTGGAGTAACCATGTCAACCTGAAACAGAAAAATAAAAGTTGAAAACTGTTAGCGCCATTTGTACACTTGTTTTTACAAGTATGCACCATATGGTTTTTAGTTTGGAAAAGGAAATAAAAAAGACTTATTATTTAATGGATGCATGCTTTAGCTTCAGAAAACCAAAACCATGAACATTCGTACAAACTGTTAGCTCAATACATTGAGACTCGCAACTGTGAATGAATGTCAATAACCATTGGATTAGCGAAAATACTGCCAACCTAAATTACTGAAATTTGCTTGCCGTGATAATCCTTATTAGTGAATGAACTTAAAAACCAACAATTATGAGGTCTGTGGGTAGAGTTTGTCCAATAAAGCCACAGGATTACAAGGCATCAACCAGTCCAAATTCCAGATTAAGTGGGATCGTAACAACTTTCTCTAGCTCTTAAGCTTTATATGCATATTAAGTCATATAAAACATGAAGGACATATTTGTGTTTAAGGATATCATATAACGGAAAAGACATGATGATCTTACCTCTCTATCCAATAAAATGAGTGCATCCACTTCAGGCCTTGCCACCTAAAACAGAACAAGCATCATTTAGAATAGTGAAAAAAAAGAGAAAAAAAAAGCATTTGCTGCAATAGGAAGATAGCCACGCCAGTGAATGTTTTCACTCAAACTATTGCAGGAAAATTTTACATCATTTGAACTGACAGGTTCCTCCACTTGCATGCGGTTAAGTATATCTGCAACACGAACTGATGCTTTGCCCTTTGCCCTCACTTTCGATATAACTCCAAAAGAAAACTATGATAAGAGTTAGTCAAGAGGTAGCATTGTGTGGATCATAATGTAAAGACTAACGAAAGATTCATACCTCGAGCTCATGTATGGCTTTTGCGACATGCCAAAGTGAGCTAACATCACCATCCACAAGGCAATCCTATCATTCAAATAAGAACAAGTAAAACAAGATAATTAGGAAAGCTGTGATATTTAAGGCTTCCAAAGGGCACATGAAGTCATAAGTGAGAAATGGACCAATGAAAGTTCTACACACTTTTTCCGAGAGCTCTAGCTCAAACGATATCACATCCTCATCTAGTGGAACCATGTACAGTGGAAACTCCTTCACGGTAACCAGGTCATGAACTTTTTCCTGCTCAAGAATCTGAAATAGTAAAATTCAAAAAACACATCACTCCGTATTCCAAAGGTGGTAAAATAAGCAAAGAAGAAACACAAATAGTATTGGCGGATGACAATAAACACATACCTTCTCACACGCAACTGACCTACGAGGTACAAAGTAAACGTAGTAGTCTCTCTGAATCGCTTTTGAAATATCATTCTGAATGTGAGAAGCTATGAATTTCATAAAACTGAGTTGAGAGCGAACAAGATAAACCACTTTCGTGCATTCAGTCAGAACTGGTTCTGCAGAAAGATGTCGTAATTCCAAACCAAGTTCCTGAAAAAAATGTTGAAACCAAAAACAATAATTAGAAGAAGAAAGCAAACTCCTCAACAGAGTAATCGATGTTAAAAAGCTGAAAAAGCTGAGGCTTTGGCATTTCAATTTTATAAATTTCAGCACAGCTAATTGTTCCACATAAACGAAATAAGTCGGGAAGCTCTGAATTTACCTTCAGAGCAGACGTCTGAATGATCAACGAGACAGAGCCACTGAGCTTTGGATCAATAACCAGACACTTACTTCCACGAATCTACAATAAACGGCACCAAAGAGAAAAAGAAAGTCTTGAGAAATCGGTAAATCCTCCGAAGCTCATTCATCCAATTGATTCTCGATTATGCGACATTGGTTCAACATGTTCGTCGGGAAAGAGAAGAATTCAGAGTAAAGTGAGACGAAAGCAGTGGTTTTTATTTCACATTCTCAATTTGAGTTTGTTTAAATCAAATATAATTCGGAAATTTCTTATCGTTTCTCCCAATCTCCCAAGAGCTTATGAATCATATCAAAAGGAGAGAAACGAAACTTACGTCTTTAAGCAAGTTGACGAGCTCTCTCTGTGACTTCTCCCTGAATTAGAAAAGAGCAACATGTTAGAGAAAGACGAGAAACGATCAATTCAACTCTCATTATGAGAATTCGAAATTAACCCGACTCACCTAATAGATTTGAGATTGAGAGGAGCATTATCCAAGCTAGGGATCTGCGCCATGGACGATGATCAATAGATGATCGATCCTTTCTCCGGATTTTCCACCACCGGCGTTAGTCCACTGTAAAGAAAGATCACGGTGGAGAAGATAATTAAAAATTTAAAAGACAAAATGGGCCTCATAAGTCTGTAAATGGGCTTAGTAAATGGGCATATGCTTGTTAATATTTTTGAAAAGATTTACATGACATTGACTCCTTTGAAGTGCACAAAAACTTAACGGAAGTACATACATATTGCTAGCAACATCTATGGTTATGTAAAAAATTATCACACACAAAAACATCTATGGTAGTCTCTAAACTAAACTCCAAACTCATGAATTACAAACAACTAAGTGGAAAATTCAGTTCAACACTAAGCCATTAGCCATGAATGTTTTCACATTAATTCCCGAGACATCGTTTGTCATCAGTAAGCGGGTCCAAGAAAAGTATGGTCCATACGTACTTAACATATGATCTCAGATGTTAACCTTTACATCATGATTTTTTTTAAGGGGGTTTTTGATGTTAAGGTTTCAAATAATTGATGAGACAAAGATCATTAGGCCTTGAAATTTTGTCTACCTCACTCAACTTGTATAAATTCCACAAATTTAAATGATGTTTATGATTTTCAGCTTCTATCGAAAATTCAAATTTGTGATGAACAAGCTGATTTGATTTGTGCCAAGTGTAAAAAGAAGAGAGATGCAAATAACAAAGTTAAAAACAAAAATTAAAACGTCACCCCACTAATCCACGAACGCGGGAATCCATTTTCGCTCACAGTCAGTCTCTCTCTCTCTCGTCGTGCCTCCCTCTCTTCTCTCTCTTTCCCCACGAAATTTTCAAATTCCCTTCTTTGAAACTCTCCACTCTCTCTCTTTCTCTCTCCCTTTTGTCTCCTTCTACTCTCTCTCTATCTCTCTATCCTGTTCTCGCTCTGCCCCTTTCGTGCGAGCCACTATGACTTCCTCAAACTCCTCCGCCGTCAGATCGTCGGCGAAACACGCGGCGGAGCGTATCCAGCAGCACTTGCCTCCCAGCAATCCCGCTTCTCTCTCTTCCTCTTCCTTGAATTTACCCGCTCGAACCTCTCTCATCGCTCCCGGAGGAGCTCCGATTAGCCACTCTTCTCGCCCTAAAGATCGACCTTCCTCCTCAGCCTCCTCCGCCTCCGTCTCCGCCTCTTCTCCTTCTACCCGCCGCTCCGGCACTCCCGTCCGCCGATCCCAGTCTAAAGACTTCGACGACGACAATGGTCCGTCCTTTTTTCTCTCTCTTCTCCTTCCCTCTCTCTTCGTGTATCCGTACGATTCGACATTTGAAAGATGAGAGCTTTTTCATGCTCTTCAACGGATTTGACTTTCAGTCTAGGGCAAATGCTACAGTCGATTTGGGGATTATTGATTCGGATTGGTGGATTTTGGTTGGTTTCATTTATCTGAAATTGAAATTAGATAACATTAGAGGACGCCTAAATGTTGTGCCTCCAATAAAATTGTCAAAATTTTGCAAAGTACTGATTTTTAATATTGTGGGATTGGAACTTTGATATTCGTATTTGAATTTTCCTACTTCACTGTAGATCCTGGGAGGGTGAGAGTTTCTGTAAGAGTTCGACCTCGAAACGGAGAAGAGCTTAAATCTGATGCTGACTTTGCTGATCTTGTTGAGTTACAACCTGAGGTGAGTAACAATGGCTTCTCTCTCTCTCTCTCTCTCTCTCTCCAAAGCTTTGGTACCAAAGATCCTTAGAAAGTTTTGTTTTTGTTCAATGCAGATAAAGCGGCTTAAGTTGAGGAAGAACAACTGGAACTCTGAGTCCTATAAATTTGACGAAGTTTTTACAGACACAGCTTCTCAGAAGCGTGTCTATGAAGGAGTAGCAAAACCTGTAGTTGAGGTTAGAGAACCTTCTCATGTAGAATTTACTGAGATGTTGAGAAGAATGTTTCTTTTGTTTGATTGTCGATATTCACTACACTGAATCTGCAGGGTGTTTTGAATGGATACAATGGTACTATTATGGCTTACGGCCAAACTGGCACTGGTAAAACTTATACGGTAGGAAAAATCGGTAAAGATGATGCAGCCGAGCGTGGTATTATGGTTAGAGCTCTAGAGGATATACTTGTCAGCTCAACTTCTGCTTCTGTTTCCGTGGAGATCTCTTATTTGCAGGTGTGACAATGCACTTTCTTTTTTAGAGTATCACTTCAATGCTTAGATGCTGGTCACCTTGTGAATTTCGAAGTGCTTGTAGAGCTTATATAAGATCCATGCCTGATATCTATATATCTACTTGTAACTCTACAGCTTTACATGGAAACTATACAAGATCTTCTTGCACCTGAGAAAATCAACATTTCAATCAATGAGGATGCGAAGACTGGGGAAGTATCAGTACCAGGCGCGACCGTGGTTAACGTTCAAGATCTAGACCATTTCTTGCAGGTTTTGCAAGTCGGTGAGACCCCAGTCAAATGAAGGATAAGTTAACGAGCTGCGTTTGATTAAAAACAGAGAATACACATATAAGAAGAAAACAAAACTGATGATAAATCAAACTAAACAAAAGCTTCTGAAACTGACCTGTGATCAAAGGACAATGGTGAATGAGTTAGAAATGAGAATGGCTTGTCTTCGGTTAGTTTATGATCAGCCATTAGAGAGAGAGGTTGTGTTATAAAGCTCAATGAGGGAGAAATGATTTATATATACCAATAGGAGAGAGAGAGAAGAAAGGAGAAAGGAAGTGATGATGAAACTATAAGGGGACGTGGGGTGACGGCGAATTGATTGCTCTGATAAACTTGGAGTTACGAGAGATAGATATGATTAATGTTAATTAGTGGTAATTATAGGGACGTTTAGGTTTGGATTAGACTTCTCTTTTCGTCTCTCCATGCACATATGCATGCAATGCAACATGCCTCGAGTAAAAAGTAGTTTATATGTATGTACATGTACATGTATAGACACATATACATAGGCAATGATCATGATTGTGTCTAATTAATAGCCAATAACTGAATACTACTGTTATGTACTCAATTAAGATACAAGATGTAACGTATGGTTAAAACTTTATTAGAGATCATGGCCATGTTTTTAATTATTTTTAAAAAAATTGTTTATATCCCACAAAAAGAAAGATCCAAATCATTAAAAAGATTAAAAAAAATTTAGTCCTTTCTAAAAAACCGTTTTGAAGACGAAGAAGAAGCGTTACTACTTGGACCTTTGCTTCTACTGTTTCTATGTCTTGGCATTGGAACTTTCTCAAGAAGAGACACGACCTCAGGCATCGTTGGTCGAGCCTTAACCTCTCCGATGCATTGCAAAGCCAAGAAAGATATCATAAAGGCTCCTTTCTGAGGGTATTGACCCACAAGCCTCGTGTCCATTATCCTAAACATTTTTCGCTTGTCTCGCAAGTAAGGTTTCGCCCATTCCACTAGGTCTTCTTCTTCTCTAGCTCTGGTTTTGTCAATGGCTCTACGTCCAGAGAGAAGCTCTAGCAGAACTACACCGAAGCTGTAGACGTCGCATTTCGTTGTTAGATGACCTGAGACAGAGAACAACACAACAAGCCAATCTACTTTAGAAAATTTCCTGTTAGTTATGTTTCTTGAAAAACTGAATCAATGAGGCCAAGAAGAAGACACCTGTTGCTAGATATTCTGGAGCTGCGTAACCTTGTGTACCAATGACTTCGGTTGTCACATGTGAACGGTCATCGGTTGGACCTTCTTTGGCTAAACCAAAGTCTGAGAGTTTGGCGTTGAATCCTGAATCAAGAAGTATATTTGCTGCTTTGAAGTCTCTGTAAATGACTTGGTCCTTAGCTTCGTGCAAGAAACAAAGCCCTCGAGCAGCATCAATCGCGACTCTCATACGCAGTGACCAAGAAAGCACATTCGAACCCCCTAGAATATGAATGAATTTAGGAATAATGCATAGAAAAATAAAAATATATAAAGTGTTGGATTTAATATATAGTTTATTAATTACTTACTTTCAAACAAATGTTGTTCCAAGCTTCCGTTAGGCATAAACTCATAAACCAAAAGACGGTGTTGATCTTCCAAAGAGTACCCAATCAACTTCACTAGATTCGGATGATGCAACCTTCCTAGATATTTCACTTCCCTCTTTGGAAGAAAATTAACATACAAACATGTAAAAGATTCTTATATAGTAGGCTCAAGGGAAAATGATCATAACAAAATGATTGGTGATTAAGAAGCTTACGAGCCATTCCTTGTGTCCTTGAAACGCTCCAGTTTTAAGTTTCTTAACAGCAACCGTAATTTCGATTCCAGGTTCACCATAAATAACACAACCTTTGTAAACAAAACCGAAACCTCCTTCTCCAATGAGACTCTCTGGAGAGAAGTTTCCAGTTGCATTCTTTAGCTCATCTAACGTAAAAGACTTCAAATGTTGTGATGAATTCATTATGTCTCCTTCTTTGCTCGGTGCAACAAGATTGCTACTAGCGTCACTCTTTCTGCTAACGAGAGATTTTAAACTCCATGGATGTGACAGCTTAGACCTTCTTTCGGTACCACTACCACCTCCTGGACAATGGGAACGGATAAACAGAATTATCTACAGCTAGGGTTACTAGGGAAATCGAAGTTTCATCAACATTAGAGATGAATGAGTCAAGAAACTACATTAACACAACCTCCTAAACTCATCTATTACAATAAGGACTCATATTAGCAAAGCATTTACTCAATAAATTCGGAGAATCAAATCAAATAGGAGGGAACAACTAGAGTAGAGAGAAGAAGAGCTTACGTGAAAAGGGTTTCGAGTTAACGTTTTCATCCTCATTATCATTCCTCTTTGAGCATGATTCAAAGCAGTTCCCCATTTAATCCTCCAAAGGTCTAATTCTCTAAAAAAGGAAAAAGAAAACACTAATAAGCCCTAAGTAAGGATCGATCTTTCACACAGCCGTCTCCGTCATCGACGTTCTTCCTCCGGCGAAAAGGAAGAACGTGGAAACTAGAGTGGTGGATCGAAATGTGTGTGGGTCTCAAATCGATAGAGAGCTAGGAATTTTGAGGGGGGGAGAGGAGAGAGAGCGATTAGAGAAGCAAAGGGGATAAAGGTTGTAAATGTAAATTTAATTAAAATTGGTTAAACTTATAATTAGAGAGATTGGAGAAGGAGTTTACGTGTATTAACTTACTGTCGGAATCTATTCACCAAAAAAAAAACTTACTGTCGGAATCACCTATTACGTCACGTGCAACTCTCGCTCGTGTCCCGACTCTTTTGGGGTGGGGATTTATAAATCAAAGCATCTACTTATGCTTTTGTGCAAATAATACATTTTAAAATTTTATTTTTTGTAATTTTGTTTCAAAAAAATGTTAGTATTAATCAAGCTTGAATCGTAAATTTTAGTATAGAAGCTATTTAGAATTTTGTGAAAAAAAAAAAAGCTATTTAGAATTTTAAAAGTAAAGAAACCCCTTTTTCCCTTTTACTTAAGTTTATTTACACATCATGGTGGAGTAGTGGTGTTTTTTTTATCATTTAACAGATTTTATTTTGATGGTATATATATTTTTTTTAAAGTGGAATATCAAAAAAGGTGTTCATGAATTTACGGTCATTTGTATTAAAATGAGATTATTCTTAAACTCGAGAAAAAAAAACATGGAAAGTGAAGTAGATATTAGCTTTTGTTTTCAGTTCTCTCGTATGGAATATTAAAAAATGATCTTCACGATAATAAGTATGTCCGTTGGGAAGGAAAGGAATACTACAAAAGGAAAATATAAATAAGTGACAGAAATTTGAAATTAGGATATGGCGTAAAATTTGCAGCTTTTTGTGCTTCTTTTGAGTGCATAGCGTCAAATTCACCCCATACATTACTGCCCACAAACATAATCTTCCAATCCTTCAAGATGTTGTTAGTTCATACGCGGAAATGACAGTTCTCAAAATAATTAATTACTTTATAGTATATATATGTAGGCATATTATATCAGTTAACGCATCATGTGTTCTTCTTTTGACACTTTTAAACCCCATAAAAATTCATGTTACTTTTTTTTGTTAGCTTTCCTGGAAATATTGCCTTCTACATATATATATATATATATATATATATATATATATATATGTCGTCAACCCATAAACTAGCCAGTGGACTACATATATCTTGAATATGTTCTTGGACATTTTTGGATATAAGTCAAAATCATCTGTTCGGTAATCTGTTTCTTCAATTTATGAATATATCAAACTCCCCCTAAAGTATTCAAATAAGAACCTATTAATAGATTATAAGAATTTGAGGGTTTTTTCTTATCGCAGGATCAATAATTTATAACATGAAATTCTTCAATGCATGTTTATGATATTTTAATATATATGTAAGATCTCTTGTTATGACATATTTTAAATTATCAAAAGAACAAACTAAGAAAGATTAGAAAATGAACATAGCCAAAGTTTGTGGGTGCACGAAAAACCCTAACCGAATCAGAAAAAGAGACAAACAAGATAACCGAGAAAAGGGCAAAGATTTTGTATAGGAAACAAGCAAATATTTATGACCGAAGCAGAAGTGACGAACTCGTATCATTAAACGTCTATAAGGTCATGATCTATAGAAAAATCAAATCCGCGAACTATTTTTATTATAATAGAAACAAAAAAAGAAGAAGAAGATAAAATTATTGGGTAAGTAAGCTTCTGATTAAGGCAGCTTGAGCAGTGTCTGTGTTTGCGAGTAACTCAGATAGCCTCTCACTTAGATCATCAACCTCTCTATGCAGATTCCTTATGTAGTTGCACGTATCTTGTAACACCCTCGCTGCTGAAACCTGTCAATATTATATATATCATCATTTTCATTTCATTTATAATTAAGTATAAAGTCTAGCTGAGTTAGTTAGATTTATAGCGTACCTTGTCTGAGCGACGACTGTCTCTGAGCTCAGGAAGAAGCTGCTGCAGCTTGACAATGAGATCGTTGATTTGGTCTTCTGAGATCCTTGAAGTTCCTGATGATTGCCTCGAACGTGATCTTCTTCCCGACATTTCTTTGTTTGGATATTAGTTCAAGAAGTAGAGGTTGAAGCAAAGGCACTTTACCGATGAAACAGGTTATGGAGTTTAGGGCCAGACACAAGTTATGCCGGAAAAGGAAGAGAGATATAGAGAGATGAGAGAAGATGAGAGTATGAAAGAAACAAGTGAAGTGGCGGTTGTATTTATGTAGGCTCTTTTATTATTTGTTTATGTAAATATAAAGCAAACAAGAAATTGGCCTTGCTTATTTTAGTTTAAAATATATATGCGAATCTTGTTTTTCAAATATTGAATTATATGCCCCCTCCTGACAACTTTTGTTATAATAGATCGATTTCAGAGAATCTCATAATTTTAGTATATAGATCTAAGTTTGATATGTATAACTATTACTGTTGAATCTAGCCAACTCTTGTCTGAAA